GTCGAGAAGCTCGGTGATGCGTGGATCCGAAGGTGAGTCCGTCGATGAAGCGTCATGGGGCGGGAGGGCGTGGAGAAAACACACCCCCATCTCCTCGATGTCGTCTCTAATGATGGAAGCTCGCATGCTTGCGGCGGATACCACGTGGCAGCTGATCGAAGGATGAGGAAGAGGCACCGTGCATGGAACTAGTACTCCGTTCCGATCACGAATGTGAATGGTGCGGTGGACGAAGTTCACCGGGTGATCCTCGCTTCGCAGTCGAATTTGGTGTCCAGAATGTCAAAGGACACCGCCTCACTTGCGTGAGGGGCAAAGTACACTGGGACGTTGTCAATGCACCGGTGGATTGACTTGTGCGTGTGACCGTCCGCCAACGTGACTTGCGTAGGCTGGGACTTCCTCCGGACGCGTGGGCCAAGGCCGGCGCCACCATGAAGTCCTGGCTGATGTAGTTGCGAGATGCCCTGCAATCGATCAAGGCGTTGCAGGTCGCCTCTCCAATCTGAATGCGTACATATAGCAATGGTGCGTCGATGTCGTCGTACCGTTGCGTCTTGAACTCGCGGTCGATCTTCGCAATGTAAGCGTGAAGGTCGACAACCTCTACTCCGGCGTCCATCAACGGAGCTGGTACTGCAGTGTGAAAGTAATCCCGCAGTTGTGCCATGAGCACATTGCAATGCGGTTTCGGCAGTCGTCCGGTCGGGGGAACTGGCATCCACTGGAAGTCCGTGAACGTCAGTGGGTCGAGCACCTCAAGTCTTGACCACGACGATGAATCCCCAGCGATAGATGGCGGCGAAGCTGCCGAATCGGTTGTCGATGGTGATGAAACCGTGCATATGGTAGATTGTTGCACGTGGAGCGGTTGGTCCAGCGGTGGAACCAGGTGGACAACATAGTCCTCGTAAGTGTAACGAGAACCTGCGACATTCGCATCCTCCCCAGATGTGCAGGAGGCCGAATCTGGCGGAGTAGAAGGTGGAGTCGCCTCACCTTCCGCGGAACTCAGTTTCCCGAGTTGAGGCGGGGTCGAACATCCTCCTTGCCCTGATCCTGGCACAGGGAGGTCTTGTGCTTGGTGTTGTTGCACCAATAGCAGCTGCTGCAGCGGCCGCGGACCTTGTACTCCGCCTCGGTCAAGCCGAACTTGACCCATGGAACTTGTACTGGCTGTCCATTTCCGGCCTGCGATGCGGATTTCGCCTTCCCATTGTTGCGGGACTTGTTGTTGCTTCGCGGCTGGACAGCAGCCACCTGATCTCCGTCAGCTGATGCTGGAGTGGCCACTGGGTTATCTCCACTGTTCGACTGGACTGCAGCGAAGTGCTGCTGTCGCGGACCAGTTCGTACCTTCTCCACATAGGTCGGCTGCCATGTCGACTTCTCGTGTGCAGCTGATCTGTTGGTCTTGATGATTTCCCTCCCCTTGTCAATGATCTCAGCGAAGGTTGAGTACTGCTCGCGATCACCAAGAGCCTGGCTCAATGCAGCCCAGGACCTGTTGTAGAACTCACGACGTAAATGCGTGAATGACAAGTCCAGATTGGGCACTGCCGCAATCTCTTGCCACTCCATGAGCCAATCCCGTGTTGCGGTGTTGCCCTGTGACATGGTGAACAGACGGTTGATGGTGAATGTTGGCGCGTCGTCGACGATGAACCGCTTCTTCCACAGCCGTGTCAGTTCCTCCCATGTGATCTTGTCCTTCAAGTCCGGTACGTCGACGCCGTGAGAGCTTGCCAGGTGGTTCAACCAGATCTGGCATCCGCCCTTTGAGTTCAAGAACAGGGCGCCGATGTACGCATGCTTAGCGACAGGCAGAATCCGAAGTTGCGTCGTGAATGCTTCCCACCAGAGGACCGGATCCTGCTGCGTGTAGTCGTCGAACTTGTCCAGTTGGAAAGTTGGCATCTTGTACAACTTAGGATTGCCATCCGTGTTCGTCGACTGCAGCTGCTGGAACTCGGTCTTCAAGGTATGCAGCTGACTGCTGATGGTGGCCGGCGCAGCGAAGGTGCTGATGTCGCCGAGCATTGCCACTACGTGGTCAACGCGTTCCTCCAGTTGGCGGCTAGAGGATGCACTGCTGGAAGCCCCAGTATCTGGTCTTGGCAGAACTTGTTCCAAGTCCTGTACACGGGCGTCCAGTGCCCGTGTGGCATCCTCGTGCTGAGTCTTATGGTTCCACACTGCCCGCTGGAGGTTCGCCAGCTCGGACTGTAGGTGGTTACACGTGTAAACCAACCTGGTCACTAGCTTAGCCATGAACTCCTTATGCTGCTCTTCCGGTGTTGCCTCGTCGCCGTTCGGTTCAAAGTGCCAGAACTTGAGTCTCTCGATGCTGTTGGCTTCATGCCGCTGCAGCAGATCCTCGGCTTCCTTGCAGCGAGCCTGGGCATCCGCGTCTGCTTCGGCCTGTAGTCACAGCTTCTCTGCTGCTGCCGCTTCGTCAGCCTGTAGCTGGGCAGCCTTGGCTGCCAGCTGGCGTTGTTCCTCAGCCTCGATTACAGCAAGCTGAGCCTGGAAGCGCTTCTTGTAGTCGGCAATGGGCTCATTGGCCAGTTGGCCTGGCAGGCTCGTCATATTGCTGACGGGGCACTGCTGACGGGGCACTGCTTATGTGGCACTGTGTCTGACGTGGCACTGCTTACGTGGCACTGTGTCTGACGTGGCACTGCTTACGTGGCACTGTGTCTGACGTGGCACTGCTGACGT